TCCCGAGCGTGGAAGGAGGTTTCTTCTATCCCCAGCTATAATGTTCTTCGAAACTCGTCAGCTTCCATGCCTTCCATGTTCTTTGAACTATTCCTGAGCTTCCATATCTTCTTCTTCCACGACCTCATATTGTCCGTCCTGATCCTGATCTTCTTCTTCGTCTCCTCCATCACCTTCTCCTTCTGCTGCTGCTTCTTCTTCTTCTCCTTCTTCTTCTTCTTCTTCGCCACCTTGTTCTTCCATTCCTTCTGCTTCTGCTCCTAGTTCACCTGCTCCCTCCCCCCATTCGTCTTCGTCTTCCTCCTCTCCTTCTCCTTCGCCCCCCTCTCCTTCTCCTTCACCCCCTTCTTCTCCTTCACCACCTTCTTCTGCTTCAACCCCTTCCTCTGCTACTTCGCCGTCGCCGACAAGCAATTCCTCTTCGTCCTCCTCAGCCGCAGCTTTCTCTTCGTCCAACGTATCCTTCGCTTCGTCATCGCCTACTCCAGCATCGCCTTGCTCCTGCTCTGCGTTCTCTTTCGCATCCGCACCATGGTTCGCGTCGCCATCCACAACGGTCGGCGTTGAGCCATCCTCCTTCTCCTCCTCCTCACGTTTTCTCTTCTTCGCCTGCCGATCGTTGAAATACTCGTCAAGCTCATCGTCTAGAGACTCTCCCGCGCTTTTCTTGTCCTTCTTCAGCCACGCGTCCAGATCTGCATCCAAGTCCTCCTTCGTTAACGCAGGCCTTCTCCGCCCTCCCCTCCTCCCTCCTCTTCCTCCTCCTCCTGCCCCAGCTTTCCCACCATCCCCACCTCCTCCTCCACCTGTGGATGTTGTTGGCGATCTCTTCTCTTGACCTGGAGACTTCCCGTTGGCGCCCTCTCCATCTTCCTTCTTCTGTTTCTGTCTCTTCTTCTGTGCCTTCTGAGAGGGAGTCGTAACTGTCCCCGCCTGACCATTCCCAGTGGAACCACCTACACGGCTCCTAGCCCCCCGCGCGCGAGGTCCTCCTCGAGCGCCAGTTAACCTGCCGCTAACCTGCCACGGCATCCCGCCCAAATAACCGCCTCCTCCTCGGTACACTCCTACCCCAAGCCCACGACCAACAGCATTGCTGCCCCCAAAGCCCGCGCTTCTTATTAGCCCGCTATATATTCCGTACGGCCGCCAGTCCGGCAAAGCCCCGCCATTACCGTAACCGAAACCAGCAGGTCCGCCTACGGCCCCGCCCAGGGCAGCGGCCCTCCAGCCTCCCATGCCACCTCTCCCTCTACCTGACCCGCCAAAACCTCCACCCCCAAAGTAATTAGGACCTGACATCACTTCGACTTCGACCCTAATTAGTTAAGAATCAAGAAGTTCAGCTGCTCCTCCTCCAGAATCCTCTCCGCCGCTCTTGCTCTTTACCTTTTTTTTGCGTGTTTGTGTTCCCGCCGCTCTCAGGATGAGAGCATCGCAGTCCCGCCTTTTTTTCCGAGAAACCACCCTTCTTTCTGCAGTTGGGCCTCCTCCGCGCCTCCTCCCAGCCGCTCCCTACGTCGGGATGGTTTGCATTAATATCACGCCTCCTCAGAGTCTTCCTCCTCAACGCCACCACCACCACCAACCCTTTCTCCTCTCCTCTCCTTGCTCCCTCCTTCGTTCCACTCCTTTCCTTCCTTTACCCAGGCAACGCTCCAGCAAGCGAGACGATGACTCGGCAGCAGCACAGATCCTGTCCCGCCTGGTCCCACAACTTACGAGCGCTAACCGCCAAATCACCACGCCCCTCCGCCTTGTCAACGGTCAACAAAATGCAGCTACTCCACGGGGGAATTCCCTAGCGCGGGAATCTGTTACCTCACTGCATACCGACGGACTGCCGAAGGGTAGATGAGGAGGAGGAGGAGGAGGAGGAGGACAGTCGAAGGAGCTGAGGAAGAGGAGGAGAAGCACAACAGCACAGAATAGGCGAGTCCGCAGCCGGTCAGATACCACCAAGGCTCGCTTTAAACCACGAATGGCGGGGATAAGAGCTCGCCGACGGCGGTAGTTGCCAATATGGTGGCTTCCAACTGGTCAGCTGATGTTGCCCGCGCCGATCGGACGTTCCCGCCTTTCTTCTCGCTCTGCGCCTTCCCGCTTCTTCTTCTTGCTTCCGCTGATCTACCGGCGGGAGTAGAATTCAATCATCCGGCGTTTTCGTCTTCCCCCTCTATCAGAAGTTCCCGTACACATTATTGCCGCTCACGGCTGCCAGGCTGTGCACCTCCCCACCTACCTACCCTCGCCTCACTTGGCTGCATGACCGTAACAGACACATGCAAGCGCGCCCGCGACGACACTACCGATGTTCCGGCGGGAGGTCATCTTGCAACGGTTCTGTACGTTCTTGTCGAAAACCCGCTCCCGTGAAACGGGATAGCGGCTGCAGGGCCTGTCCGTGCGTGCGACGTAGAATAGAAAGCCGTCCGTTGGCCACTCCCGTTTAGGGCGGTTTCTCTACGAACGACCTGGACATGGACCACATGTTGGGCCGAATCCCAGGTCCAGGACCAAGGACAAGGGCTTGAAACGGGTCCGGACAACACATCCCTGGGTCAATGGGCTGGCATCGAAAAGCTCGCAGCGTGAAGTTTCACAGCTCGCCGGGTGGGAAACTAATCATAGGCCAAAACAACATAACAAACGTAGTCTTTAGCCTTGGTCCCCAGCCAAGAGGCTGCGCCATAGGGCCTCGCTCGACACCAGTTGAACTCAACGGTTGAAGGAAAGGAAATTTCTTTGTTCGACCCCACCCTAACGTCGCCGCGGAGTTGTTTCTACTTTCCGGCTCTCAAGTGCCCGCCCTCGAAACTCAAGTGCGGCCGGGGCAAAATCGCAGGTGAACTCACGGTACCTCTCTGGGTAGCCTTGGGTTCAAGTGCCAGCGGATACGGCCAGCACTCCAAGTGGGGCTTTTTTTTTTTTCCTTTTTTTCCAGCAGGCGACCCTGGTCCAGGCTTGGCCAAGCCATGGAGTTCGGTTTAAAGTGTGGCCTGTTCAAGGGTTTCCTCAAGTGTACATGGAACCATAAATCCAGTAAGTGTAAATTAATCACAATTTCTCATTTAGTGTGCACTTGAAACTCAAGTATTTGCAAGTGGTGTCGAACAAGGCTCGTACCTCATTGCGCTTTGTTGGCAGCCCCTAGGGGTTGCGTTTATACACTATATTTCGAACGTGGAATTCCAAGTTCGTTATTAGGGTGGTAAAATTGTGCACGGACAATCTGTTCGCTGTAGTGCAGAATTCTCTAGATTCTTTAGCTGCTCTGAGGCAATGCCTGGACGAATAAGCTTTCCTCTTAGAAGCTCGCGGGTGTCAGCGTTGTGCAAAGACAATCTGTTCGCTGTAGTGCAGAACTCTCTAGATTCTTTAGCTGCTCTGAAGCGATACCTGGATGAATATGCTTTCCTCTTAGAAGCTCGCGGGTGTCAGCATGAAACCTGCACCACTTCAGAGGCCGCCAATTTTTTTTCCCAACAGCTGGCATGGCCGCGCGGTGCCTCCGGGTTTTGCTTGGGCAACAAAAACTTTCTGCAAGGCTGGGGCCGTGTACTAGCGGTTTAAACCACTAGTCCTTGGCCCAGCTATAAAGTCCGAGCCTCGGCCGACCGGTATGCCAATCCATGCCGCTACCAGGCGGACTTCTTTATAAAAAAAATGAAAAGAAAAGGAAAAAAAAGGAAAAAGAATGATTTTGTTTTTGTTCCCACGCGGAAGGGGAGAGAGAGAGAGAGAGAGAGAGAGAGAGAGAGAGAGAGAGAGAGAGAGAGAGAGAGAGAGAGAGAGAGAGAGAGAG